CACGAAAGTAGCCCACCAAACCAAGCGCCAGAGGAATTGGCCCCAAACGAGGCAATGCAGAATCGGCCAAGGACTGAAATGGGCCTCACAAAATTGTTGCGCTCTGTATGAAGACTTGCAGCTCATTGTGTGCTTTGCAAAGCCATGCAGAGTCGGACTGTCGGACAGAGTTTAAGGCAGGCACAATGATCTTCACTTCCCACCCACCTTGGTTCGTCCAGAATGTTGGCCAGAGGAGGCCCCTACGCCAGACTGGGAACCGGACGCCCGATTGAGAGGGGAATCAGCGGCCACTTGCTGGTCCAAGCGGTCGCCATCAGCATCCTGCGAGTGAAGAGAAGATTAGTCATCTCTGTTTTCCAGCAATGGGGCACGTTACTCAGGCAGCATTGTCAGCACATCTGCAAACAAGTAATCCTGGAGGGCCGTCAAAGCAGCATTCGGAGCACATGCTTAGTCGATCAGACCTGAATAGCTGTGCGTTGCATGGCTCGACTCGAGCAAGAAAAGAAGCGGTGCGCATAATGAGAAAGACAGATGAGATGGAACAATACCTGCAAAGCAGACTCGTCGTCCGCGTCCAAAGCATGCGGTGCCATAGCCGTCGTTCCCTGCACGTCAAAACTAGGTTAAGTCCCTGATAGCACCCCAGATTCGGAGATGCAGACGTCAGCTTGAAAGAAAGGCAAGTAGCTTCTGCAGAGTAAGCACGATCCAAAGGGATGTGCTCAACATCAAGCCAGTGACCTGAAGCAGCAAAAGGCAAAGGGCAAGTGGCTTCTGCAGATTGAGTACGATCCAAAAATAAGTGCTCAACATCAAGCGAATAATCTGGAAGAGCAAGATACCAAAAGCAATCTGCTCACCTGCTGATCCAGAGCGCAGAGTCGCGTGGCCGGGATCTCCTGCGCACAGTCGAGCATCACGGAGATGGACGACTGGACGTAGCAGTGGATCAGCGGGCTCTCCGATTTCCGCACCCGCAGCGTCGCCTGCCAGGCCGCCCGAGCTGTCGTCCTCATCTTGCACATGTAGAGGAACTTGGTATGGAACCAGGGAATATCGAAGTTCACGCCAGCCTCAACGGTGGGGCTGTACATGAGCAGGCGAACCTTCCAATTCTCTGCAACGTTCTTCAGGAGAGCCGTCGTTTCGCCCCCGCTCAAGGCCTTGTGGATGAGGATGTCTGTGTCTGCGAGCCGAAGCGCATGGTCCGAGGTGACCCGGTCCCAGATACGGTCCAAGACTTTCGCCGACATGCTCACGACGACCACGTTCTTGCCGGCTGCGAGATCCTCGACGATCCGATCCAACCACTTCTTCTCATCCTGACCGACATGGAACGTTAGAGGCACCTGCGCATAAAGCGGTAAAAGAAATGAGCGCGCTGTGGGCTGAATGTATGTGAAAGAGCATGTTTCACTGGCCCGTCCTTGATTCCAGAAGTGAACCGGCTGCGCTATGAAACACAACTTCCATTGGTACTTAAGTGACGGTATGGCCGGGCCCCATAAGTGGTTCAAGAGGTGCTGCCTCTAAGGTGATTAACGCAACACAATTGCTTAGGGGAACTCAAGGAAAGGGCCTGGCAGAAGGCCCAAGATTTCTGATTCGCAATTCCGCTCCAACCCTCTCAGGTGCATCAAGGGAGCGGCCAAAGCAAGGCATGCTGCATTTTGGGCACTTCAAAGCGCACAGCATCCGAACGGGCCAGAATTTCAGCAGTACTCCTTTCAAAGCTGGCAACACTAATCAGACGGATTTTTCGAGGGGCTTACCGCTGCCCTTCTTGTGTTGATGACGAGTTTCCCGGGCACGTGTGCAAGCCGGAAGAAGTCGTGCTCCCGCTGCCCGTACCCATCGTCCATGGCCAACACGCGCTTCGCCCGCTGCACAATCTCCAGGAACAGCTCACTGGTCTCCATCCCGTTCCTCACGGTCGCCGCGGAGAGGTGCGCCAGGATGCTCGCCACCTCGTCGAGGATCACGAGATCGAACGGGGCCACCTCGCCAATGCTGCCCCGCCGGAGGTTTAGGAGGCTGTCCACCTGAACCACGATTTCGGGAAAGTCCTTTCGAGACTGCAGAGCTGTTAGGAGGTTGTGCTTGTTGTCGGAATCCGGGAACCACACGTTCTTGTGATCGTAGTCGGCCTTCAGGTCGAGGTAGTTTGCGGTGCGGGGAAAGCGCGCTTTGAGGTCTTGAGCCTGGGCCACTCGGTACGTGATCATGATCGACGTGTGGGCGCGGCCGCTCGCTTGCCAGAGCTCGTCCCCAACCGCCCCGCAGAACACCGTCTTGCCAGTGTTCACGCCCGACCGGATGCCGAGCAAGCGGAATCTGCCATCGATCCACCTGCACGTGTCGACCACAGAGTTGTCAACACGACCTGACACACTCTGAGGAAGGAATTAGGCCAACGATCTCAACAAAGGTTGGCTATGCAGTGACCTCTTGTTTCGTACGTGATGAATACACCGGCAAGCAGCTCCGAATGGTAGGTAAGCGTTCAGAACTTGATGTATACGGCCTGAACTTGAAAGCTTGCAGCTCTGCGTTGGTCTTAGAACAGAGACGTGCCATTAAATAGTGGTCGTAAATGCCTTGAAAGGAGGACACGTGACCTCCTGTCACGTGACAGGAGGACAATCGTCAGGTTCTGCACGCAGGCTTGTGGCAAAGAAAGAAACCCTGGTGGGAAAAAGGAACCCTGACAGTAGGTGGGCGCCAAGGAGCGCCCGCTGATACAGCACGTAATCATGAAAACAGACATACGGTACAAGAAAAGCTCCTTGTAAAGGTGAGCGCCCCGGAAGCGCCGCAAGTCTCGCAACATGTTCCACGTTGTCCCCAATTTTCGCCACGTGGGTTTGCGGCCGAAACCAGAGCTTGCCAACCTAGCAGATTCTGAAAGCTTGTCACATCACAATACCTACTCATTTGGCGACTACTTACTCGTTGGCGACGGTGTTTAGCTTCATCAGATCGTCCGGCATCCTCCGCCCCGCTGCTACTTCGGCCACGAGCTCAGGGGTCGACGCGCCAGGGACACGCGTCAGGTGCTCCATGTCTACCTTGACGGCGCCCGTCTCGTACGAGATGTTGTCCTCGAACAGGTCCCCCAGGCAGTACGCCCTCTCGACACAGGGAACGTCTGAGTCCCCACCCTCAGTGTTTTGGCTGAAACACAGAGCATAGATCTTGCCGTTCGGGTTGAGGTGACAGGTTAGATTCTGGCGGTTCTCGTGGATCCGACCCGTGTAGCACGGCTCCGTCCGATCGCTGTAATTATAGCGATCTGGGCCCTCCTCGTAAGCGCTAGGGTGCAAGCGCTCCCTGAGCAGCGCTAGCATGCGGGCCTTGACGAACTCCTCGTTCTTCGAGCTGCGCTCTGTGCCCCGTTCGGACATGACACGAGGGTTGCTGAACTTCTCGTGGAGCCTTTGGGGCACTTCGAATGGCAGCTTGACCTCGTCACGGGCCTGCAGTACAGCACGACGGCAGCTGATTACGAGCGCATTCGTGCCAAAACTAAGTCGCCCCGTCAAAATGTGAGGAGGATGCCGGGAAGAAGGTCAAGACAATTCGTCAATCAGAGGAAACCTTGCACTGTCGTGCTGCAATAAACCGTGTGCATCAAAGGCAACGAATCCCCTAAGTTTCACAGTCTGCAATTGTGCAATTGTGAAGGCCGCGCTTCAAGAAAAGACTGCTCAGACTTGCCGCAAAATCCACAGTTTGTACCAAGAAACGCTGTATTACTTTCTTGAGAATCTAATGGGCCTTTTCTGGTACATCCTGCGGGTATGGCCGGGTAGCCCATCAAGCGCAAAATCCGCTTCGAAGCAGGAAGGGCCGTATAAATTCTGAAGAAGTAACAGGCCTGAGAGAAGAACCCTGAGAGATGACCGACCTAGCGAGTGGCGAGTGTGGATCTTGGGCGCTCACCTCAGGGGGCTCCAGCCAAGTCACCAGAGCGTCCTTCCAGGAATGGGCCGGATCAATGTATGACAGGACGCTCTCCGGCTTCTCGACCTTGGCGCTCCCCGGCGTCCGCCACTTACGGTCCTTTGTGTACACGTTCAGGTCGATGAGAGCCGCGACCGCAGGATCAAACTGGAACGCCCTCTTCTTGAGGCGCCTCGCAAAGTGGAGAGCCCCCTCGGCGTTGGAGCCGAAGACGAGCTGACGGGGGGACAGCTGGTTGATCGTGAGGTGGAGGCTGAACTTGGTCTGGCCCGGGCTCTCGATCCAGACAAAGCTGCTCGGATGCAGCTCACAGTCGTACTGTTCCTTGAAGACGATACCGGCCCACTTCTCGATGATCCTGGTCACATCCTCCGGCCGGTACCTCTCCCCCGCCTCCACAACCTCCCCGTCCGCCCCAATCACCGGCTTGCGCTTGAAGGGGAGCCCGTCCTTCCCGTCGAGGTCAAGGTAGGGTTTACAGGGCTTCCCGTTCTGGATAATCTCCGTCACAGACCCGTGCCGCCCCTCGAGATGCAACCGTGCCGTCTCCCAATTTGGATAGGACGCGAAGCTGCGCCACGGGACCCTCACCCCATCCCTGACCGTGCCACCCCATTTGTGCAGGACCACCTGCGCCTCGTGGTTCAGCAGCGCAGCCTCCTGCTGCATGAAGAACTTTGGGCCGGGGAGGCGGCCCCTTGGGTTGGCCCCTCTCTGATGGAAGCAGTTGGTGCCGTGCTCCCGCACACGCAGCACCCGGAACCCGTCCTTCTTGAAGACCTCGTTGCCAGTCAGCGAGTCAGAATGCACAGCAGGCTCGGGCACCGCCACAAGGTCCTTGCGCGCCATTGCAAGTCTGCATGAGCGATGTAGGAACAATCAGAACGCTGCAACACTAGCTCAGGCTTGCCTTTGACCGTGCTCATGAAAGAGTTCAACGTCACTTCCTGGTGCAAATGAATTCTGTCGAGATCTGCCCACGTTGGTGGACGGTTTTTGTGTTGCGCCAGAAAAGCCTTGCTGACCATGCCTTCCGCTTTACAGAGAATGATCGAGGAAGCAGATTCTGAAGCACCAGAACACTCAACAGGCCGACCAACCTTCCACTGAAGCATGCAGATACGCAATGGCAAAGAGAGGATGACAAGCCCACTCCTAGGACATGTTCGTCCGTGTTGGACGGCAGATACTGGCTGATGTACACTGAAGTTGCACCATCTGAGCGACACAAATTTTTGACAGGGTATGGCCGGCCCCAGCTTCGGACCATCCAGCGCACCATGGGGCTGTACCAAGAAACGCTGTATTACTTCATAAGATTCTAACGGGTCCTTTCTTGGTACACCTTCAAGTTACAGGGTATGGCCGGCCCCAGCTTCCAACTATCTAGCGCATCGTAAACACACCGGCAGACCAAGCCAAGTGCGGGTGCGCTGCAACCCTCACTGACCCTGCACAGCTTGTCACGATCTTGGCAAAGCGTAGCTACTCACATTGAGGTCGGTGGCGCTTCATCCCGGGCTCGCCTCCTCTGCATCTCCCTCCGCATGGGTGCCAGCGCATCATCCGGGGTCTCGTCCTCCTCGAGGCGAGCTGCTGCTTCCTCCATCTCCATCTGCCGGTACAGATCCCGCGTCTCAGCATTCGGCACCGCCGAGTCGTTGATGCCCCGGTCGTCCTCGGATGTGGGCTCCTCGTCAGACTCGGTCTCGTCCGACGTCTCTTCAATGTCGAAGGAGGCGGCCTCTTCATCTGACGTCGCTGCTACCTCCTGCGGCACCATACACCGTGATTGGTGAATCATTGGCCGTCCGAAGAAGCTGGCAGTCGGAATCTTCTCGCAAAGAACGGTGAGCGCAGCATGGTGCTTAGCCCGGCAATGAAGACAGAATCTATGCCTCTCTGCGCAGACCAGCCCCGGCATGCCTCTCTTGAAGCCTTTCAACAATCGCACGCAGAACAGGCACACAGGTTGCTTACTTCTTCGTCCGGGCTTCTGATCCGGATCCTGGTACCGCTTGGCGCCGGGGAGCTCTCTCTGCTCGAGGCGCCCCTCTTCCTGCCCGCAACCTCCTGCATCCAAGCATTGAAAACGCGTTTTCATTCACAGGAGGCGTCACCAGACTTAAGAGAACGCCTGAGCGCTTAAAGGCCATCACAACAATGTGCTCTGGCACCAAGTTCACAGGCCGCTTCGCATTTTCCCGCCCCCTGACCACCAAGGAGTGCGCTATATTGGAGGCTGTACACGACTACCGCCCGGAGGCTGGCTTGGAGCTACCCTTCGTGACTCCTGATCAAGAGCGCCCGGTCACAATTGAGCGGCAGGGAGTCAGGCTCACATATACCGGAGAGGACTTCCACATCTTCAAGATTGTTCCCGCTTTTGACTGCCAATGGACCGTCTCTCACGACAAACGCGCTCTTTTTTGGGACGAGAAAGGTGTTTTCAGGGACTATGTGAGCTGGTTGAAGTACCTGATTTCTCATTACTTTGCAGCGTGGGGAGTTCAGCTTAGCGGGACCGTCACAATGGGGGGGGATCGCTTGGGCGAGACGGGGTCGATTACGGTCGATGGCGATCGAATTCTCGTCAAGCTGGACCCAATCGAGGAGATTTGGATCGAGGCATTGTTCGACTCACCGTAGGTGCCAGCTCCGTTGCAGCGGAGTTGTCAGGATGCGGGCGGCTGGAGGAGGGGCCGGGGTCCTGCAAGTTAGCAAGAGCGTGAGGAGTTTAGGGACAAGGGGCGCAGAGACAAGACAACCTCGACCGAAGGAAGTGTATTCCACATACTTAGGGCCAAGCTTTGGCGCTAAAAGGGCATCTGGTCATGGGTTACGACACCAGCTTCACCGGCCGTTTCGTCTTTTCTCGCCCCTTGACCGCCGAGGAGAGCGCCACCTTGGAAGCGGTGCACGACCATTGCCACCAAGACGACCTTGAACTACCTTACAAGGCTTTCGAGAAGCGCCCAGTCGAGATCGAGAGGGAGATTTTCAAGCCGTCTTATATTGGTGAGCGATTCGACTCGCTCTCGGAGAGGTACCCCTCGTACTATTGTCAATGGATGGTGTCACCCAACAGGCGCGCTCTAGTCTGGGACAAAGGGGAAAAGTTCTACGACTACGTGAGCTGGCTGGAGTACCTCATCTCCCACTTCTTCGCCGCATGGGGAGTCGAGCTGAACGGGACCGTCAAATGGAAAGGCGCCAACCGGGGCGACAGGGGTTCGATCACAGTGGAGGGCAATAGGATCAGGGTCGTCATGCCCCTAGCCCAAAAGGACTCACCGTAGGTGCCAGCTCGGCAGCAGCGGAGCGAGGTTGGTGCGGGTCGCTGGAGGAGGGGCCCGTCTCCTGCACGGCAGGGAGAAGGCAAGGGACTTAGGGGCAAATGACACGTAGAGTAGGCAACTTCAAACGATGGAATGGTACTTCAATTGGGGTGCGATCCGGACCCCGGAGCAGATCAAGAGGGTCTTTGCTCTCGGCGCCAAGACCGATCCAGAGACTTTGAGGGCAGCAGCGAGCTTCCAGGATGTAGCCGCATGTGCGATGACACGACTCTGCCAGAGGGGCACGTGCAACGACCCAAGGGATCTATCCTGGCCGTGGCTGTTTCAATGGTTCATGCAAGCGGGAGGGTTCGAGGCCTGGTCGAACGACGATGTTATTGAATTCTTCGACGAGTTTATGAATGGTGAAGTGGGCAGATTTGAGGAGTTTAAGGGCAAGCTTTCCAAGCGCATCTGCCGCGCCGCTGTTGAGGACTGTCGATGTGGGCACTGACCTCTCTGCTGACGCTAGGCGCAGTTGTTAGCTCCTGTCCCGGGGGTTGAGCAGGTTGCGCAGCAGAGCGGGGCATCACTTCTGCCACCCAGTTTGGGTTTGGTTGCTGAATGAGAGAGGAGTGCAAGACTCAACAGACAATCGATCGACTCTTTATGTATGCAACTTCTCACTGAGCATGGGTGCGTCCAGACGGCGCATGGGCGCACCAAGATGAGGGTGCTCAATGTCAACGATTGCACATTTTGGACGGCAGCAGAGACTCACGCTTGCTCGCCACGCATCGAAATACTCAGTGCTGACCGGCTTCGGCCTGCCGCTCTCCTGGACCTCCTGCATGACAAGGATTGCCCGTTTACTCATCATGGATCATTCGGTCGCTGCCGATGCTCTGCTGATGCTACCGATCACAGTATGATTTTTGGGGGTGCAAGATGGAGGCAAAAGGCAAGAATAGCTCTGAGCGACTTCTGCTTGACAGATTGCTCACCGCCGCGGTTGAGATGGAAATCAGGGGTCGTTCGGACGAGCTGCTCGGGGTGTCGGGATCCCGTGTGGGCCACCCTGGGTTGCTCTCGACGCCCCCGATCATCAGCTGTGTCGCTGCACCGCACCAAAGGGATCCCTCAATCAATCATGCTCAGAATGGCATGCCCTTCAAGCAAGACTCGCGCATTCACTATCTTATCCGCAATGCCAGCTGAAGCGTATTCTTGCCAACAAGTGCATGGAATCTGCCATCGTACCTATCAGCGCCCGGCTCTTTGGTGCTGAGGAGTAAAAAACCTTCTCCGACTCGCCCTCGTAGGCTGCGGATCCTGTGCGAACAGAATGTTGAGAGGTAAGCGTCGAAAGTCCTGCCACAAAACCAGCGATCCCGCAAACATTCAGTATCTTACAAAGTTAAATGGGACCTTACAAAGGAAACGGAATATTACGAGGTACTTTATGGCAACTCGCGGCGCAGCAAAGGCTTACAGCGTTTTGGGGGACCCGGCCATGCCCTGCAGGTTGTACCGGAAAACGCCCATTGTATTCCTAAGAAGTAAATCGTCGTTTCTTGGTACACTCTGATCGCACGCTGGATGGCCATACCTTGCGCTCGATGGGCGAGGCCGGCCATGTCCCGCAGGATGTACCAGGAAAGGGCCATTAGATTCTTTAAGAAGTAACACACCCTTTCTTGGTACAGGGTGATTTATGCGCTAGATGGTCGTACCTTGCGCATGATGGGCGAGCCCGGCCATGCCCTGCAGGATGTACCAGGAAACGCCCATTAGATTCTTTAGAAAGTAATACAAGATTTCTTGGTACACCCTCATCGTGCACCGGATGGTCGGAATCGCGCTTGAGGGGCTGCCAGGCCGATGGGCCCGCCCAGCCATGCCCTGCGAGATGTACCAGAAAACGCTCATTAGATTCTTTAAGAAGTAGTACGTCGTTTCTTGGTACACTCGAAATGTGCGCTGGATGGCCGTACCATGCGCTTGATGGGCCCGCCCAGCCATGCCCTGCGAGATGTACCAGAAAATGCCAATTAGATTCTTTAAGAAGTAGTACGTCGTTTCTTGTTACACTCGAATTGTGTGCCGGATGGCCGTACCATGCGCTTGATGGGCCCGCCAGGCCGGCCATGCCCTGCAGGATGTACCAGAAAACGCCAATTAGATACTTTAGAAAGTAATACAGCAATTCTTGGTACACCCTCATTGTGCGCCGGATGGCCG